TAGTTGAACAAAGCGTGTTCGCACCCGGGCAAAGTGAGCGGCGCCTCAAAGCAACCAGGCGTTTTTTTGCCACCCCCTTGTTATTGTTGGTTAAATTAAATTATGCAGTATTAGGGAATGATGACAAACACGGTCATACGCGATCATCAACCGGTCGCTGTCATTTCACATCCATCACGAAAACGACCACGACACCAACAAAGATTGCGTTCTAAAACGGCGTTCTCCGCCTAACACCTCCAAAATCCAAAAGGAAATCAGTCTAAATGCCGTTAGGAGTCGAACTTTTCCAACTGGAATCATAATGTGGGATCTGAGGTAGCCAGCCACGCAAGCTCTTTACATGGTCAAGTCTGAGTCTAGTAACGGTGGTAAGCTCTTTTTTGTTGGTAAAGGGTATGGTAAACTGGAAGGGTGCGCCAACGAAGAGAACGTGAGGTTAGATCTAGCCCCTCCCACACTGTCAAATTGGAACCGTCTTTTGAACATAAGAATGTTGTTGAACGCACCTCGTTTCGTCATCCTTTGTGACATAGGAAAAGTAGAGTGTACCATCTAGAGAGACCAGTGACCGTTCTGAGCTTGGAAAAATGCGTTCAGTAGAGGAGTCGTATAGCCACAGGAACGAGTACGACTCTGAAAATAAACAACTTCTAGTTAATATGGGCTGAAAAAAGGTTCAGAAAATCAATAACTCACCTTTTATGGGTGTTTCGTCGATCTATAGCAATAATCACTATGTTATTATCCCTTCTAAGTGGACGGAAGCAACAAAAAGGATTAAGTGTGTAGCGCGTAAGCCGTGATAGTGAAAGCTGGGCCCAGGTCTAGTTGGATAGAACCGAGAACAGTGCCACGAGGGTTACCGTAGTGATTGGCTGAGCATTGTGAACGTTAGATGAAAGCGAAGGGATAAGTATAAAAGTCAGGTGATAAAGAAGGTGCCGATTGTCCCAAGGACACGTGGCAATGTGTGGGTGCGAGTGCACTAGTGGTGATGGTGCCGATAACTTTGGTGCAATTTTGTGAAGGGTGAACACGGCGTGAATACAGCACAACGAAGCGTGAAATCACAAGAAAAATAGCGAAAATTTAGAAGGAAAAGTAGTGCCTTCACAGAGGTAAAAAGACAAAAGGTTCACTTGAGAAGTACGTCAGTAAGGGGGATCGGGTACGGCAGCATCCATTTAAGGGCAATGGAACCTAAAACTTTCAAAGCACCTTGTTCATCAGGAATAGCAGAAGCCCTGGTGAGAATTAGGACAAAATGATTGGAATGAGGCGATAAGTTGAAAAAGAGGGTATTAATTGATATGGAGCAGGGTGAAAAGTAAGCTGCTAGCCTAAGCAAAATAAGGCGCCAAGAAGCCAATCAAAATTCCCAGGAACGCATTGGTTTATCAGTGATACTTGTTAATAATTGGTGATAGTCACTGAGACCGAATAGTAGGATTGGCAGAATGCATTGTAGGAGTCAACGGTTAGCTATAGCGAACAGGGCACGCCCTGTCGTTGGGAAAACATCGCGGAATGTGACCCCTCCTAGGTATCCCCTCTGGAGCCCTCCCCTTCCCCGCCCATCTTACTTTCCAACTCTTCCTAGGTTTTTCCAGCTTTCTAGCACTTTTAGGGAGCTTTCATCGACAATTCGAGGACCGTAGAGCGATTATACATATAGCACATGTGAAACGGGAAAAAACGAGAAAAGTCAGGACCGAATATATATTTTCAAAGGCGATTACGACCACAATCCTATCTAGACACCAGTTCAAACCCTCTTGCTCGGATTCGTGAGGTACCACTCGCTCTGGCCAGGATGCCCTATCGCTAACCAGAAACAGATAATCCCATCTATTTTAATTTTGAGAACTTCACGAAATCCTGCAAAATCCATATCCTCAACAATCCAATCCTCAACAACGTCGTGCCCTGTGCCACAACTTCATAGATATTCGACCCAGTTATTGAATATCGAAAAGTGCTTACGGCCGACCGCTCTGGTTTATACAGTTACTTGATGATTCATTTATTTATACTGGGGGGGAGTCTGCGCTGATGTCTTCAATAAAGGTGATTTACTGGCAAGTCCTACCTGTGAAATGCCCAAAAGGAAGAGTTCGAGACAAAGGGTCGCCGTGCAGTGGGAACCAGGACGTCTTGGCATTGGGGAAAGTTTTTACAAAATTCGACCCCCCCTCCTATCCTGCAAACCACCTTTTTGAATCTTTCCGGTTTTTCTTCCACTTTTCCGGAACTTTTTTTCCAATAACTCACCAGTTTTCCCCTAAAAGGCTGTCCTTGATTCGGGGAGGATAAAGGTGAGGAAGGGCGCGGAGTACATAGCGCACTTGAAATAGGAAAAACAACGAAAAGTCAGCAACAAAACATTTTTCTCAAAAGAAACATGACCCCCCCCCCCCCTTTCTCCAGCAAACCAGCGACCAGTAACGACCCATCTCGCTTGGGAGACTAAACCTGCGACATGCCCTGGAACTATCGCGCTAGGAATCATTTTAGTCTAACTGCCAAATTTCCCCAGCGATTACAAGGGCTAAGTGCTAGGTCAGAAATCTTTGCTAAGGAGCCTTTTGGGGGGCAGGATGTGAAAAGACTTCAGAGACATAGGTGTGCAGTAGTGTCGAAGGAAAATGAAATGAGAAGAAAAAATAATCCAGATGGGCTAGGTAACCCTATTTTAAAACGAGTGCGAGTGCAAATCGGTGCAAAATTGCGAGTGCAGTGTGTGTGTGCGATTGAACAGAGACGGCAGGTGAATAGGCAATGGTGGTGGTGCGAGTGCAGAGCTACTTGTGAGTTAGTAATTGGAATGATTAGCTAACACTGAACAACGGTAGTGAGGAATGGACAACTGGGCCTGCTGGTGCCCACACGCAGAACTGCGGGTATTCCCAAACGAATCTGATCGGTCGACTTCAGAGGAATAGGGCGGAGTCTACGAAAGGATTCGCGACGATCGTCGTCGCGACAGCCGACTGTGCCGATGGCGGCCGTGGAGGCGGTGACGAACGGGGGCTAAATCAACACAATCTCTCTAATGAAAGCGACATGCGAGATTAGCGACAGACGAATGCGAAAAGAACGAACGAACGAGTGAGTCACATATTGGATGTCGAGACCATAGACAAGACAGATGAGGATAAGGCGGAGTTGGACGAGGTGGATGAGGAAGAGAGTGCCGACGAAAGCGGCGTAAATGCATTGAGAAACTCAAACAAAAGCTGAGAGTAGCCGCAACGACAGCAGCTCAACAACATCGGCACTGTATAGCATCGGCTACGGATACGTGAGCCACTTGTGACAACATAGCGATTTCAAGAGGCTCTCGGGCTGTAGTTCAGGGAAAGTTTGTCAGTAGCGGTCAAATACGACCTAGAAAGGGCGACGGAGGAGCGGAAGGCGAAGGTCTGAGACTTAAGAGAGAGGAAATTCCAAAAAACAACCGAAAAAGCGCGCATGTGGTATGCGAAAACAACTGAGAGCTTTATAGGAAGTTATGATTGTACAGAAATAGT